CAATTTGTGACCAGCGTACCTGAAGGATCGGCTACTCCTAGGCTACGGTAATCTAAGGCCTTGTTTTGGGTGCCCCACCTTCTGATGTTAGCTGGGGAGCAACCTGAGAGATGGCCTTCTCGGTCATGGCCCCCTGGGATATTCGTCTGTCCCCCTCTGATCACTGTCTTCCACCAGCTGGTAAAGTCTTTTTCGTGTTCCCTCACTAGCCCCTTCAATCTGGCTCCATGTTTTCACATATTTTAGTTTTAATTGATTTTATAATCATAGAATCACAGAGTTGAAAGGGACCTCCAGGGTCATCTAGTCCAACCCCCGGTACAAAGCAGGAAATTCACAAATACCTCCCCCCCCACACCCCCTGGGACCCCTGTTCCACGCCCAGAAATGACAAAACAAAACTCCAGGATCCCTGGCCAAACTGGCCTGGAGAACAATTGCTTCCTGACCCCAAAGTGGCGATCAGCATTTCCCTGGGCGTGTAAGAAAGGGCCGTGAGGACTAAGCACTGAGGCAACCCTGCCTGCCCTCCCTTTGTGTGATCTGCCTAAGTTTACAGCATTGCTGTCAGGTGGCCATCTAGCCTCTGTTTGAAAACCTCCCAAGGAGAGCCCACTACCGCCTCCCGAGGAAGCTCGTTTCACTGAGGAATACCGCTCTAATGTCCTATTTAAATTGCTAGCCACCTTGGTGGCCCTGACAAGGCCTTAAAGGCAGAAGGTACAACAATGATTGTGTGGCGTCTTGACCACAATTTCAAATTGGCCTTGCGGACACCCTCCCTTCTGGCAGAGCAGGGGCCCATTTATAAAATGGATTGTTGCTGCGTAAAGACTGCTGCCGAGAAAGGAGGAACACATGCAACTAACAGGGCTGTTAAGATTGGGATTCTTACACTGTGGACTTCACTTGCGCCACATGGACCCAAATGTCTGGCCTCCGAAGAAGGTGATATGGGTAAATTAAATGGTGGGAAACAAGAAGAGGAGGAGGAGGAGGAAGAGGAAGAAGAAGAAGAGGAGTAGGAGGAAGAGAAGGAGGAATAGGAGGAAGAAGAGGAAGAGGAAGAAGGAGGAGAAGGAAGAGGAAGAAGAGGAGGAGGAGGAGGAGGAGAAGGAGACTGGATTTATACCCCGCCCTTCACTCAGAGTCTCAGAGCAGCTTACAATCTCCTTCCTCTCCCCACAACAGGCACCCTGTGAGGTAGGTGGGACTGAGAGAGCTCTCTCAAGAACAGCTCTCAGGGAACTGTGACTGACCCAAAGTCACCCAGCTCACAGCATGTGGAGGAGTAGGGAATCAAACCCAGTTCTCCAGATTACGACCCACCGCTCTTAACCATTACACCAAACTGGCTCTCAAAGTTCAGTGCTACTCGAAAGAACTTTGGTGACTTACCTGCCGGAAAGATTCTTCTTCCGCGTCCTCCAGAGTAGAATCTTCGTCAAAGTCTATCACGCGGTCATACATCTGCATATTGTATTCTTCCCAGGATATATATCCGTCGCCATCTTTATCGTATTCACCAAACTGCTGCTTAGCGTCTTCGACGATATAGTGCTTGAAAGACTGCTGGATCCACACACTTAGCTCGGCTGCAGAGATTTCACCAAACAGTTAGGAAGTAGACCAATTTCCCTCTCAATTTCCCCCTTCCAAAATATGTTAACAAATAAAGCTTTCTTTAAAAGACATGTGATCCGCACTAAACTTCCTTGCCAACGTCTGCTAGAAAAGGGTAAATGCAAACACAGAACTTGTGGACTTTGGTCCGCGGGCATGGAAATCCACGTTTAAAATCACCCTAGTGCAGGGGTGGTCAAACTGTGGCTCGGGAGCCACATGCGGCTCTTTCACACATACTTTGTGGCTCCTGGCAGGGTGGCTGGGAAAGCGAAGGGGAGGCAGGCCTCCCTGATCGGTCTTCCCTTCCCCAGCCAGAGTTCCCTTCCCTGGGTAGGTTTGAGGTGTGTGGGGAGCAGAGAAAGAAAGCAACTTGAGCTTTAAAGGAAGGAATTTTCTTCCAGGCCAGACTGGGCCAGGGATCTTGGAGGTTTTTGGCCTTCCTCTGGGCATAGAGCAGGGGTCACTGGCGGAGTGAGGGGGGGAGGTAGTTGTGAACTTCCTGCATTGTGCAGGGTTTGGACTAGATGACCCCGGAGGACCTTTCCAGCTCTATGTTTCCCACTCTTCCGCACATTGTGCCATATCCCCTGATGATTTGGGGAACATGATGGTCATATATGCACTGAATTTACCCCGAAATACATACAGGCAGAGTAGGTTATACTGCCTGTCTTATTTAAGAACTTCATCTGTAGCTATCTCGCCGACAACAAGTAGGCTTATATGCCAAACAGAATCCATCACGCCCTCCTGTCTAGCCGTTAAGTTTGCTTTTTATCAACTGTGTTTCTTTTTTAAAAAAAATTTAAAGCCTATATCACCGATCACATCCATACATCTTCCATACCCTCTGTGAGAAAGCCGTCTGAATCCAAGTCGATTTTCTTTATAATAGCTTTCAATCTTCTCTGTTGCTCGTCTGGACTCAGCTTGGCAAATTCATCCGCTTCTTCCTTTGGAGGAAAACGGGAAAGCATGAAGAATGAGGACTTAATCTAGAGGGGTTATTCTTGGCTAGGTTCTATTACTGTACCCGTAGCTACACAAAATCACTTCCTTTCCACCATCTGTCAACTTAACCTAGCAGGCCTCTTGAAAGTATAAATTGGAGGTGTATGGAGGGGGGGAAACTATGCATCCCAGCAATGTAATTCTAAACAGAGTTATATCCTCAATCCATTAAAGTCAATGGCCTTAGAAAGACGTAACCCATTTTAGGACTGCACTGTTAAGTGTGCCACTCTGTACTCCTGGGGAAGGAAGGATTAAAGATGTAAGAAATATAAGTAAATAACATGAAGTGGTAGAGTTCTTCCTTCCACACCTCAGGGCTCTCCTTCCTCATTCTCCTGCATAGGGAAACCAGGCCTAATCGAGAATAACTGGTTCTTCCATTAAGTTCTCCCTTCTTTTCGGAAGACTCCAGCTCTGCCCAGCGTCACTATTATATTTAAATATGGCTGGTGCTCTACACAGGATAAGACTGTCGTGTCAAAATCTGAAACATCCCGACACACACACACGCACACAAGTATCTAGACCGAAGAAGAGTTTTGGAAAATTCATGCTCGCACACTATTTTGTGTCAGCTTAGTTGGTCTCAATCAAAGAGTTTATGAGGCTTTCTTTTTAGGTCCTACACTGGCATTCATTTATGCAAATAAGATACACCGCTTTTTCTTCACACACACACAAACACATAGTCAAGAAGGCCCCAAAGGGGCCCTGAGCCATTCCTTAAAATCCTGCCATTTCTCCTCTTCATAGCACTACCTTACTACATACATACTACACATAACAATTATAATGTATATCTCAAGAGATCACTGTAATACATATGAACACCCTATAGGTATACTGAATAATATATACTATGTGTATACGCACTATTTCGTATTACCATAGTGCTAAAATCGCTATCAACATACATATTCTGGATAGACAGATCCATATGGACAGACAGACAGATTAGATTGATGAATATAGAGTGAGAATTTGTTGTTGTATACAGAGTGAGATAGTGTTGTAAGCCACTTTGAGTCCCTATTGGGCAGAAAAAAGGATGAAGATCTACCAAATAAATATATAGATATGTGTGTGTGTATTATATATATATGTATGTACATACACTGTGTATATATACACACACACAGAGTAAACATTATATATACACATAAAGGTAAAGGTTCCCTTGCTCAAAAGCCAGTCGAATCCGACTCTAGGGCTGCGGTGCTCATCTCCGTTTCCAAGCCGAAGAGCCAGCGCTGTCCGAAGACGTTTCCGTGGTCATGTGGCCAGCATGACTAAACACCAAGGTGCATGGAACGCTATTACCTTCCCACCAAAGTTGTACCTATTTATCTACTTGCAATTTCTTGCTTTCGAACTGCTAGGTTGGCAGGAATATATACACATACGTCTACACAAATACTATACAACCATAGAACAAATTTAGAGTCCGTATATTACAAATGCTAATTCTGTCTCCATAGCATTATTCTACATATACACCCACCCACACATCTATATATTACCGTGCACATATTCTAATGCTGTGTGCCTATCTAGCAGTGAGCGTACAGTGTACTGAACATCTATGCCCACAATCCTACCCCAACATATGCTGCACGTATATATACGCATAAATGGCCAAGATGCACACACTATATGAACTGTCTCCAGTGTGCTGCGCACACACTTACATTGCATGCAAATATATGTGTACATCCATGTACTGAATTCAAAGAAGGTATGCGCTTGTATATATGTACATAGTGACATAGAATCAGAGAGTTGGAAGGGACCTGCAGGGTCATCTAGTCATATATATGTACATTTGTGTTTGTGTGTGTGCATACATATATATGTAAGTGTATGCGTATGCATATATACACATATAAACACACATATACATATATATGTACATATATACAACCACATACCTTCTCTGAATTCATATATATATATATATATACACACACACACACACACACACACACACACATAAGTACACATATATACATATGTATATATACATATATTTGTGCATGCATGTGTATGTGTGTGTATACGTATATATGTATAATATATATGTGTATAAAGGTAAAGGTCTCCCTTGCTCGAAAGCCAGTCGAATCCGACTCTAGGGTTGCAGTGCTTATCTCCGTTTCC